CCAGCTTTCAGAGAGGCTTATGGGAGATCCACATGTGTAGTAAGTCTCAGGGCATATAACTCCCAACTGTCCAATCAAAGTGGTTCCATGGTGACGTCAGAGCCATGAGGGAAGTCCCAATCTGGACACTGTAAAACAAGAGGCAGGCCATAACCAGGGTCTCTCTTTTGCCCTCTTTTGTTATGACAATGGGCCTGGTCATCATCTTTGGCATATGTATCGCTTTCTGTAAACTTGTATCTTTCTCTCCTCAATAAACCTCATTTTCATTCTTGTCTTACTTTGGTGCATCTGGTCATTCTTTCGCTATGAGCATGTCACAAACTGACATTTCAGACCCCCAAGCCCGACAACTTTAGTTCCCTATTCTGCAGATTCTTCCCAAAATGTAATGGGCAGCCTCTGCCTTACACCATTAGAAAATATGGGGGAGCAGTCCAAATCATCCACCCACCCACCCTTGCAAGAGTCTCTGTGCCTCTCAGTGCCCACAAGCACGAGTGGGACAAAGGCAATGGATATGTTTTGACACTATCAATGTACAAATCCATGAATAAAGAGTCCTTTGACTAAATGGTCTTTCTGGTTCTGATCAATGTCTAAAAAGTTTCTGGATTTAGTTATAAGCAATATGGAAGTTTCTTACAACTCTAAAAGTTATGATAGATTCTCTGTGCCAGGCTGGGTAGGCACATTATTTCACTCAATCCTCACAGCAATGTATGAAGAGACATTACTATACTCATCTGTCTAAAGTTCAAAGAGGTAATATGATCTGCCTAAGGTCACAGAGTTAATAACTGGCAGAAGTGGAATTTGGACCAGGTCCATTGAACTTCAAAGCTCACGTGCCTCCTGCTCTATAAACTGACTTCCAATATTACCCAGCCCTGTGCTGAGTACAGGACGATGTTAATTAAAACTAACATTTGTATTTCAATATACAGTTTTTTAAAAAAACTCTTTCCTAGGCACAATTTCACTTAATGCTTATCATAATCCTGAGAAGTAGACAGTAGTGTTATCCCTAGATATAGATACAAACACTGAAAGTCAAAGATTATAAAATGACAGACGGATACAAAGGAAAAGTCAGGATCTAAATGCAAGTCTTTTCTCAGTAGTATTTCATTTTCTGCTCCATGCTCTGCCTCACTAAATGTTTGATATAGAACACGTGAGCTAATAATGCAAGTTCTTTAGGTTATATAAAACAAAACAAAACAAAACAAAAAGCAAACACGAGAGCTGGGGCTGAAGTGGTAGAATAATGCCCTTTTCATTTTTGCCTCTGATAGCCTGTAACCCGGTAGGCTGAGAAGTATTTGTTTGTTCACTTGTGCAGTAAGTGTTTCTTGAGCACCTAGTACGTCTCCAGTACTGAAAACACAGCTGTGAACAAAGGCTGTCTCAGTTCCTGAACTCAGGGAGTTTCCATTCTAATGGAGGAGACAAAGAGATAATTTCAGACAGTGATAAGTGTTCTGGGGAGATGTGGTAGAAAATAAAGGGGAGGTAAATTTACATAGAGTGGTCGGAGAAGGTATTTCTGAGAAGGTAACATTAATCGAATGAATAAATGCACGAAGAACAACTCGCAGACAGATTCACTATTCATACCAGAGTCATCTAGTGTTTGTCGGCTATTTGACTGTTATTACTCTGATGCTGAATACGTTTTGAACCTTATGTTTAAACCAAACGGCAAGTATAGACGTGAAGCATAACGAATAATCCCTTCCACTTCTTTTCATTCTTCTGACCTTGCCTTTGCAGTCAGGGTCACCCGACCCCGCCACTCCCATTCTTCCGTCTCCAGACACTTCCGGCCTGCGCATGCGCAAGAGAAATTGTCTTCACTGGCGGAGGGGGCGGATCCCACTACCAGACGCATGCGCCCCTGGCCCGTAAGCCCCGTCCCTACCCCGGCGTCCGCTCGCGAGCGCCTGCCGTTTCAGGGGGCGGGGCGGTGGGCAGGGACGAGGCGGGGAGGGGCGGTGGCGCCGGTGCGTGCGTGTGCGCGCGCCGCGGGCGAGCCAGTGAAGCCGGCGGCCCTGGCACGTGACCCGGGACCGACTCGCTTGGTGGCTTGGTGGCTTGGTCTGTCTGTCCGTCCGCGGGTGCCATCATGGCGGACGCGGCCAGTCAGGTGCTCCTGGGCTCCGGTCTCACCATCCTGTCCCAGCCTCTCATGTACGTGAAAGTGCTCATCCAGGTACGAGTCGTCGCCGTTCCCTTCCCCGCCCGGCACCCTGTTCGGTCGCCGCTGCCCGCGGCGCCTGAAGATCGGCTCCAGCCCTGCGGGCCCTTGAGTCTCCCGAGATGCTGCTCCTTCTCTGCTGCTCCTTCCCTCCCCGCAGGGACAACTCCCACCGTCCCGCGGCCCCTCTCGTTGGCCTCCCCGAGGTCTCGCCTCCCCGCCCAGCGTTGGAGGCCCTCTCCTTCTCCCGCACCCAACTGCCACCCCGCCCTGCCCAGGGACTCCTCTGAACTTTGTTTTATCTTCCCTGAGGTTGATCCTGGCCGGTCGCCACCGAGGGCTTCCTAACCCTCCCCTCTCGCCCCTCTAAATTAGCATTCGTCTCTCCTCCCCCACTTCAAAAAAAAAAATCTCAAACACAAGACATGAAATACTCAGTTGAAGACAAATCTGAAATTAGAGCGGAGCCAACATTTTATTTTTTATTCCCTTTTTTTTCTTTCTTTGCTACTGTTACTACTGCTTTTCCGTTCCGAGATTTTAGCACCAGATACCCACAGAGCACCAGATAAACACAAGGAGCTCATTCAGAAGTGACAACTGAAGTGGCTGCTCGGGCAAATTTCCGAGCGCTCTCCAGCAGCAGCCCATGTGGCTCATGACAATGAAAATCACATTTGTCTGAGCTGGAAATCAGTTAGGCTGAAAGAGCTAGTTTTAGGGAGCTTAAACATAGGTGTTAGTTTCTAATCTACTGAAAATAATTCTTAGGTGGTATTTTATATTCACAAGCAGGTTGGCCAGATGATAGATTTAGGAAGTATTTTCAATTGCTTTTCTAAATTTCCCTGTGCTGGGTAGGTCATTCATTTTTTAAAAATCTTTATTGAGTGTTGACACATTAAGTGTTACATTGTGCCAGGGAATAGAGCGGTTTTTAGAACCCCTGTCCTCACTGTCTAATTTTCTGTAAAAAATATGCAAGATATTAGGGAGAGCCACATTTCTTATTCTTGAGTTGTTGCTAATCTAAATTATTTATTGCTGAGTTGACCCACATGGATTCAGATTCCATATGTAAAAGGCTATTGTAAAATAAATTATTTGAACTCAGAGCAGAGACTTTGATTGAATGTGCTATGACATCTAAAACAGAATTGGCTTATTTGGGGCTATATAGCATCTGGGATGACAGTATTTTGCAGTACATTTAGTACGAACCCACTGCTCAATATTTCTCCAGGAAACAGAGTTCTAAAGTGACATTCAGAGCTCTTGCCTCAAAAACTTGAATATCCTTAATATCTGATTTCACAACATCTGTGTATTACTAAGTATCTCAGGGGTTTTGGTGAAATTCCCAAATATTTTGTTTTAAAAATAGTTGCATGGTAGCACTTTCAGGGAGCTCAGACAGGCGTTATTTAATAGGACAGATTAAGAATCATAGCGACAGAATCAAAACTACGTCCTTCAGAGTTCACTCTCTCAAATATCTCTTTATCATTACAGATCCTGACTATATTATGTAACAAAAATGGTAATCGTTAACTTTATAAAATGGCCTTCATTGCGACAGTCTGTTCATTTAACATGAACTTAACTTGTAATTATTTCCTAAGTGAATTATCCAGCTATATCTGCATTTGCCTTTTGAGTGTTTTGTCTAGCTAGCCAAAATATGCAGTTTATGCTGCTTAGTGTAAGCCTTCTCATTTTGTTCAAATATAAAAAGCACTCTAGGTTCCCTTTAGAAACTATCGTTGAGCCTCCTTAGTACCATAGCTTCCCTAACACAAAAGTTCCCTTATTTTATTCCTTATTTTATTTTCAGTTTGGTATTAGTCTATCTTTGCCTCATGGTTTACTTCATAGACTTTGAAACAAGTGAAGGTTGGGCCCGGCGCGGTGGCTCTCGCCTGTAATCCTAGCGCTCTGGGAGGCCGAGGCAGGACTATCACTTGAGGTCAGGAGTTCAGGACCAGCCTGAGCAAGAGCGAGACCCCGTCTCTACTAAAAATAGAAAGAAATTAGCTGGACAAAAAATATAGAGAGAGAAGAAAATATATATATAGAAAAAAAATTAGCCGGGCATGGTGGCACATGCCTGTAGTCCCAGCTACTCAGGAGGCTGAGGCAGGATTGCTTGAGCCCAGGAGTTTGAGGTTGCTGTGAGCTAGGCTGACGCCACGGCACTCTAGCCCCAGCAACAGAGTGAGACTCTGTCTCAAAAAAAAAGAAAGTTATTTGGAGTTTGTTGAATCCAGTCTTATCAGTTGACACAACAAAAAACTGACAAAAATGATACTTCATCACTGCCTTGGAAAACTTAACTGCATTTGTACTTGTGTTAAAAATTATAACCCTAATTTTGTTCTTTATTCAAGACCTTGAAAGCAAGGCATTTTTGGAAATATTGCTTAATATATTAAGCACCATAATATATTAAGCAATATTGATAAATTCTCTTTTTCTTAAAGGTGGGATATGAGCCTCTTCCTCCAACAATAGGACGAAATATTTTTGGACGGCAAGTGTGTCAACTTCCTGGTCTCTTTTGTTATGGTAAGTGTCTTTGGTTTACTTGGGCTTGGATGACATTGAGGACTGATAGGCAGGAGTTTTTACTGAAAGAAAACATACAGAAGGCATGTTTCTTTTGAAACTTCTATGTGTCCACTTTTTTAAACTTAAATCTCTGACTTGTGTTCTTAGCTCAGCACATTGCCAGCATCGATGGGAGGCGTGGTTTGTTCACAGGCTTAACTCCAAGACTGTGTTCAGGAGTCCTTGGGACTGTGGTCCATGGCAAAGTGTTACAGGTAAGAGGAAAATCAGTTCATCTTCCCACAGATTTTGCTTATCTTTTGTGCAGTTCGTTCTACTAATCAAGAGCAATTTCAACAGTATTGATAACCCTGGCCTTTTTTCCTCTTGAAAAACATTTTCTTAAATTATCTATTTGCTGGGAAATAAGGGAAATGAATTTGTGCAGAATGAGGTAATTGATTTGATCTACACGACCTTCTGCCTCAGAACCAGTCCTTTTAAGCAGAAATTAAATGTATTCATTTATTTGATCCACCTGTATAGCTTAGTTTATTTCTTTGAAGGAAAAAAGAAGCTGGCTAAATCATACTTTTTTTTTTCCTAAAGTTGTTTTCCTCTTATTTCTAGTGTTCTTCTAGTATAATGGTTTCTATTAAAAACTTAACTTTAGGCTGGGCAGGGTAACACACACTTATAATCCCAGAGACTTGGGAGGCTGAGACAGGAGGATTGCTTGAGCCCAGGAGTTCAAGACCAGCCTGGGCAACATAGCAAGACCCCCATCTCTCTCCCCCGAAAAAATAAATAAATAAAAACTTATTTTGAAAAAAATGACAAACATAAAAGTCAGGATAGTGGTTATTTATGAGGAAAAGGAGAGGGACCACAAGTGGGGGTCTGGGATAATGGCAAAGATTTTCCTTTACCTGGGTCATGGCTATTGGACATTTGCCTTTTAATTATTTATTGCATTGTTTATTTGTGTTTATGCACTACTTTGTATGTGTGTTGTATTACATACACTTTTAAAGTTTTAAAAGAAGCCTCACCAAATTGTACATCAAGACAAGGTAGTAGTTAACTTTTGGGAAGGTGAAGGGATGAGACGAGGAATTTCAGCTCTGTCTGTGACACTTTATTTTAAGAAGGCAAGACATCTTAAGCCAAAAAATGGCAAAATCTTAAGATGTATTTAGCTTCGGTGGTAGATGCATCAGTGAATTAATTTTATTAATTTTTTGTATGCTTGAGGTGTTGCATAAAATGTTTTTTAAAACATCAGAGTTACATTTGTTTCTCTTTTAGTGATCCTTTTGTTTTGCCAGCTTATTTTTACTTCTAATGCTTAAGATTGTAATATAATTTTGATTGTACTGGTTTCTCAGTGGCACCTGTTACAATGTAAGTCAAACTGAATTAACCTTTAAGGCAGTCTTAGTATTTAGAAAGTGCTTCAGCAGACGGAATTTCCCTGTGCTATATTTATAAAGGTGTTATGAATAAGAATTCCGTACCATTGAGAATACTCCAAGGGAATGTTGTGCAGCATGAATATGGCTGAGAATGTAAAACGAATGGGTTTTCTAATTCATTAATCTGTCTCCTGCTGGCACAAAGGAAATGTTGCCCTTTGTGCTGTAACTCTTAAAAAATATTGGAGTGTATGCTAACCATCTAGATAGTATTTTCAGCCTATACTATATAGCAGATGTGTTAAATTTTAAATGTTTCCTAACGTGGCGTCATCCTAGCTCACGGCAACCTCAAACTCCTGGGCTCA